TTGGACTGAATTTTGGTCCATTCATCTCAGCGCTGTACTGCCTTGGTCTTTTTCTTGGCACTATTTATTCTGTTCCCCCATTCCGCATGAAGAGATATCCAGTTGTAGCATTTCTTATAATTGCCACGGTACAATTTTTGCCTTTTCTCCATGAAAACTTTCCTTTACATTTGTCAGACCAAAGCTTTATCGACTGGGGAGAGAGACTAATTTTCATTCCAAGATAAAGAACTTTTGGCTATAGCGACTTCTTATCCTAGGCAATAGTTTATGGTGATATAAAGATATTTGTCTTTGAATTTGTCCCATAATGAATGTGCACAAGATGGAAGGAAAATACAGTTACAGATGCATTTTACTGGATCATAACTTATTGTTACTCTATTTCCTAACCCTGTTACCCCTCTCAAAGCCAAAAATTCAGTTAAAACATGTATAACTGTTCGATTAGTTTTTGATTAGTTTAAGTTTTGTTTTCCCTTGTTATTCATTTCCCATGAATTGGTTATAAATGGGCTGATTTTTGCAGGTACGTGGTTTTCTTCTTAATTATGGTGTGTATTATGCGACAAGAGCTGCTCTTGGTCTACCATTTGAGTGGAGGTGAGTTCTCATTCAATGCTGTAAGCAATATATAGTCAAAAACATATTGTATACCCTATGTTACCTTCCTCCCTCCCCAATCTCTGATAAAGCAAAGGACAACAGAAAACAAGAATTGGGGCTTCACACTGATCACTGGAATAGATCAAGTCATAGTTTTGGAATGGTCTCAAATCTTGTATTTCAGTCAGTACACCTCATTAGTAAGGATAATTATTAATTGAAGTTTGAATGATTTAGTAGGCCGTTTCAATTGACCAATGCTTCTACATGAAACTTTTGCCTGCAGCTCGCCTGTGGCTTTCATTACAACTTTTGTAACGTTATTTGCACTGGTTATTGCCATCACTAAGGATCTTCCAGATGTGGAGGGGGATCGCAAGTAAGTCACTATTGTATGATATCAGCACTAATTGGATGTATGATGTCAAACTTTTACTGGACAAACATATTTACATTCTTTGTATGCACAACATTTTCTCTTTATTTCTCATTATTGTGATGGATGCTTTACCATGTTGGGTAAAACAGCTCATTTTTTCAAGTTTTACGTGCTCAATCCATCATTTGCTGCCATTACGCTGTTCTTTGCCCCAAAATGAGCTGCCTCCTATTTGCACTTCCTTTGTCTTCTTTTCATTTTTCAGAATGAAGTTATTAACTTCTGTTACTTTACTCCTGACTATTCTCCTTTTCTTTTACTCCTGACTATTCTCCTTTTCTTTTGCAACATTCTTCAGGTTTCAGATATCTACTTTGGCAACAAAGCTTGGTGTAAGAAATATAGCATTTCTTGGTTCTGCGCTTCTATTAATAAATTACGTTGGTGCTGTTTTAGCAGCCATTTACTTGCCTCAGGTAAATGCTGCAATTTTACATATCTTATAATGATTGCCTTTGCACTATTTTCAATATTTACTAGAGCAGTGTTGTGATCATGTTAATTTTTAATATCAATGACGTAGAGATCAGGAACCTTGATTTTCTCCTGATAAGTGTCTATCCTGAGTGTATTTCTTCCATGTGTCATTCTTTCAGGCTTTCAAAGGTGGTTTAATGATACCCGTACATGTTGTATTGGCTTTGAGTTTAGTTTTCCAGGTACCACTTTTATCACATATTTGCAAGTTTAGTGTCCCTTGATTGCTGATGTTTAATTCTTTCCACATCTTACTTAAAAAGGTGCACAATAGGGTTCCCTATTTTCATAATTTGAAGCCAAATTTGGGTAGCATGGTGAGGATAGGAATGACTTCGGCTTTGTTTGATTGCTGTTGGGATATTTATGTTACAAAAAGTAACTAAATGGCGCCCAAGTTCCACAACTGCACATGTTGAGCTGTCTTTACATGTGTGGCAAGTCAGTCAATCCTATGGTGGATTTAACATAAAAGTCCTATCAAAATAGGTGATATAAGTTGAGCTTGCACAGTTTCTTGCCACTTGATTCGTTCATAATTGGGTCCAGGTTTCTAGTGACCGTTAATTCTTATGGAATTGAGAGATTACCGTTATTTGTTGTATGTGCTGCAAATGGAATCGGACAAGTCATCCTGGCATTTCACACTGGCAGAGAGCAGCTAACAAATATGTGTGGCTGTGTGTGCACGCAATTGTGTGGAGAGAGAGAGGGAGGGAGGGAGGGGGAGAGATAGGGGTAAAACGCAAAGAGAAGTTGAGTGATACTAATTGAAGCTCAAAACTCATGACGTTAAATCAGTCAGTTGTATTGAGTTCAAGAGGCAGAGCACATAACAGAGGGGGGTTATGGTCTCTCCTCCTTTTCCCCTACAGTTCTCAATGTGTAGACATGAATCCCAAGTGAAGGCCTTGAAATTTCTAGCATCTCTATAGTTAGCTGAAACTTACTGATAAAGGAAAGTGAAGTAAAAGTACTTAATGTGATACTTCAAGTAAACTACTTCTGTATATATTCTTTGCTATCCAGCTGCACTTCTATTACACTGTCATTTTGTTTTATCTATTTTCAGGCGTGGCTACTGGAAAGAGCAAACTATACCAAGGTAATCACATATGTAACATACGTGTTTCGCTCGTAAGTTTTTTACTGTAATTCAATTTTAGCAGTAAAAAATTGGTGAATAGTGCATATTGAAGTGTTCTTTTAACCCATCAGCCAATAATTCTTCATTAGTTTGATATGGCTGTGAATGCTATAAGTTGCACAAAAATGGAACCTTCTAACAAATTTTGCTTTTTACCAAATTTACACCTTATGCGTAGTGCCACTCTGCTTCCATCCAATTGGAAATTGTTCTCTCTCTCGACTTTTAGTCTCGACTTTTAGCAGGTCTGTGTGTGTGACATAAACCACTCTACTTTACCTACTAAGTATGGAATAAAATTACTTCTCAAGGTGAACCTGTGATTTGGAACTGAAGCGACATCCATGAATGGTGGCTTTATTGCCCTGACAGGAAAGAAATTAGAAAGAGAAAATTAGTTACTGAAACAATTATGCAGGCATCCCTAGTCTTTATATTGTTTTCTTCAGTGGCATCGTTAGCTCTAATGGCATACTAGTAGATCAAGGAAATTAATACTACGATTAGGAAAGTTGTGCGTGCCCAAATGAATCACCTTAGATAGGGATAATAAGGGCGGGCGGGAATGACTTGGGTATTGCAAATCTCTTATCTCAATTTGATGTTCTCTTAAATTTCTGGGTAATCATTCTTGTTTCCCATTTTTCATTTTGCTTTTGCTGTTGGAACTTAGGTTCTAGATAAATAACTAGCACTTTTCTAATAACTCCAGTATGCGTGATTCAGCATAGAGATATTCTAATGATGATCTGATCTTGCAGGAAGCAATCTTAGCATTCTATCGTTTCATATGGAATCTCTTTTACTCGGAGTACATAATCTTTCCTTTCATTTAGCCGTTTGGTATTTTAACCTGAAGATATAGCTCAACATGTGTCCAGAAGGGTTTTCAAGCGGCTGTAGGTTACTTCTCCCATCACCTCAGGATGGCATCGACAGGCTTCTGGTGGAGCTTTTCAGCTCTCTTGCTTGTGTCTTTGGCTGCCCTGCCCTGAGGTGGAATAATGTATAATTTGGCTTCTGTTTTGAACAAGTCTTTGAGTCAGGAAGAAAGAGCAAAAAGATGGTAGAATGAGGGAAATTTCTTGTACATCTCTGGTCAACTTACGCATAATATTGAAAGTTAGACCTTGTACCAATTGCCTATAAAGAACAGAAAATCTAAACATTTTTGTATCTATGAAGAATAGGATAAAGCTGTACAGATTTATGATTTCTGAATCAGCATTTGGACTTCCAGGGCTCCCCTAAATAAAGAGTAATAATAGTATTAGAGTTGGTTAGAAGTCTCAGTCAGAATCTGATGACTAATGCTTCTTATTCACTTGCTAAAGAACGGGATTACCAACTTCAGACTTCGTCCAAAATTCCAAGTGCGCGTGGAAGCAGAAAACCAACAAGAAATAACTTAGTCTAGCGGGCAAGGCAGAAGAAATAAAGCATACCTTTGTCCAGGCCTTTAAGGACTCAGTAAACGAGCATTTCTTATCTTTTCACGTCCATATCAACCCCAAAATGTGGAAAAAAAGGAACAAAGAAAATGGCTAGTCCACGCCTGCCATTTCTGTGAAATTGCGAGACCACAGAAAGGAGTGAAAAGTCCCTGAATTCCAAGTTGAAGTCCATCTCAACTCCCTTTTGGAAGATCAGGTCAGCGTGTGTAACATCATTCTGTAGGGCGGTCACCGCCCTCAAACGTCAAAGACAGAGTTGCCAAGTTGACGTCCAACTTCCTCCGTGGGTCGCAAGCTGAAGAGGGTCCAAATCCGGAGCAAAACTGAATCCTTGACCCTTGTCTACCAAGGCTCTGGACTTGCAACTTCCAAGCCAATATCTTGTTTGGATTGTAGTCTTTCGCAGAAATTTTTTTACGTTTTTCGTGAACGCATTTTTCAATCACCCTTTTACTTCACATACATCAGGTCGCTACAGTAGTATATTCTTTTGCAAAAACTCTTCAAAATAGAGTAGTGTATTCCAATGGGCTCTTAACTTTTCTTTTATTTTCTCTTTTTCGCTTTAGATAAAAATGAAATTTGGCGTTTCTTGGCTCATACTGTTTGGTTCATTTCCCATGGACAGTTCAGTAGTTTGCCCTTGTTTCCCACTAAAAGCAAGTAGGGATAGAAAACATTTCTGGTTAAGTAAGTTAGTTTTACATTTTATGCAAATTATGCAATTTGGTTTAGTTTAATAGTACTACTTTTTTGGCTTATTAAATTGACTGGAAGATCCAAGAACTTGCACATGCCCAAAAGTTCGTCGGCAATAACCAAATCCCCATAAGTAAGTGGAAAGTTTTGAAGCCGAGAAACGGAAAAGAAAATGATATGATAACTATAATTCTCTCTTGATCTTGTATATATGATCAGAAAAAGAATGAATTAGGTACACATGAAGGATACTGACAATCTACAATCCATCTCCTCCCTTCATGATGTACAGAAAGATTGTATCAAAGAATGATTCAAAGAATGCAAAACGACTTACAAAGGAAAAAAAAAAATCATCCCTACACTAGAAGGAGCAGAATGTAGAATGGAAAAGCCTTCTTTTCTGCAGTTTCGTCTATACACCTGTTAATCTGAAATTTCTAGCTAATATCTATGCTGTTAAGAACCAAGTGGACTTCTGCCCGGGGTTTCCCTGCTAAAGTTTGGAGTTAGAGATTTCCTGGGAGACGAAAAACTGGTCCTTGGAGATAGATTCACCAGCTCCAAGCCACGAACTTGAAGCTCCGAAGGATAGTCCCTGACACATCCAATCCGTGGACCAGCTCCTGTTGTCCATTTACAAGACAATTGCTTAGCTAACTGATAAGATTTCATTCCTTTATGCGAAAATATTCTCCTAATAATCTCTCCTTTTGGAATGGCTTCTTCTTCATCTTCTTCAACATCCTCATCGAACAGATTTTCCTTGGAAACTGAGAAATCAGAGTCGGACAAGTTCTCTTCCGCTGTTTCATATCCATCCGCCGGAGTTTCACCACCAATTTGATGCTCTTGTTCCTCTTGATTCTTGAACAGCTCCAACACATCCTCCTTTTTGGGTATTTCAAGTACAGAAATCTTCGAGTGAAGTCCTCGAGACCACCTCGATATTTGCGGCGGTAAATTCTCGGTGCCCTTGCAATATTTCTTGATCGAATCAACTTTCTCTCTTTCGGAGATTTTAGCATCAGCATCATCACCAGCTCGACTGAAGTCTGGTTCTGATATGGTTTTTCGAAGACTTTGTTTCCTAACAAAGACTTCTTCCTCCTCACCAGTTGGGGCTCTCTGCACAAAGGACAGAAAATTAATCGACATATCACTCAATCATTTCAGAAATATTGTACCTTACTGGGACATAGAAAATTATTGAAAGAACCATTTGATCGATGAAGTGACAAGACTATGAAAATTACACAGGCGCAATCTATTCATTGACATTTTCATTTATGTTCATATCTTATCGTGCAAAGGCAAGATTAGCAACTCTACCTGGACAACACTGAGGTCGACATTTTTTTGCTTAAGGAATGACATAAGTTCTTCAAAATTTTCTTCTGTTGGGAGGTAATGGCCACTGTGAGGCCAGACAGCCTATGAAACCAAATGATTTGCATTAGAAACGATGAAACTGCAGCAAGTAAACAATTGAAAGGCACAATACTAGTTCTCTACCTTTAGAATGCCATCTTCCACTACTAATCTCCCAGCAGATAATGTAGCACCACCTGCCAAGAAACTTGAATGCTGAAATGTGCCTTTCTTTTTCAGCCCAACATACAAGACCTTGGAGACGCTGAGAACGAAAATCCACTTCGCATCCTCAGGACCGCCTCTTGTATCTAGAAGCTGTCCGCTTTCTTTGTACTTAAACTTTCCGTCCTCTATTACAACTTCATACGCCATTCTTTCTATCTGTGGCAATAAACAAATTTATTAACTCTTGAACTCTTGAATTGGGCTCAATAATAGCCAAAGTTAAGGATTGATTTCCCAGTTGTCTACATGAGATTAACCATTAACAGCTCTCAAACAAGATAAGCATTCTTTCTAAAAAAAAAAAAAAACCGAAGTCAAGGATGAGATGAAGCTCACCGGCCCAAGATACTTTATGCATTGTTGATGAAGTTTTGATCGAGGGCATTTCTCAAGATTTACTTCTTTACCTTCTCCAATATCAAGCCTGCAAATGAAGTTTGAAAGCGATTACGAAGCTGAAGAAATTCCTTCTTATCTCATACTTGTTTTACGAGTAAAATAAAGCTTACCAGTAGAAGAAGGGCTGTTTACTCTCACACTGAAGCCAGTTGACATAATAAAATTGAAGATTATGGCCATATCGATGACGGGGATCAATCTATCAGAGTTATGCAAAGGAGTTAACAAATGACTTGAAAAGAGTAAAGAGGATTTATCACTTGAACCTTCATTTGAAAGAGTACTCACAGCCTCAAGCCAATGTTGCAAAGCAAGTTTGCGTGCCTTTTTATCCTTTGACAAACCTTTCCCTACCTGATAATGGTGAGAAAGATGCCAATTAAGTACTCAAACAAGATGCAACAATGAACTATGCATATACTATTTCAAACATACTACCTTAGCCGCTCTTGTTCTTGCCCTCGACCAACGTGAAATTGCTGTTTCAGGTTTCTCGTCAAAGAATGACACAGAAGTGCGCTTGAGTTCAGCAAAATCCAATAACTTCCACCTGGAGACGACACGATTAAGCTAAGACTGGAAATTTAAAGAGTATAAAGAAGAAAGAGATTCCCAAGATACCATTCTTTCACAATGGGAATATTTCCTTTGTGTTTGTATTTACATGCTACTGCATTTTGGAACAAAGTCATGCAAGTTGAGTATGCTGCCAGTCTCTAAACGAGACCTTCAAACTTTATCAATTACTTTCTGATGGATGCATGACTATGATTAAATGATATGCAGCGAAAAAACAGAATCAAAACAGAACTGCAGCCCATGATTCTTTTAATACCATACTTAATACTAGTTGATACTAACCATCTTTGTTCCACTAGAACCGCACAATCTGCTAGTTGCCTTCTGGTTCGGAAACTTTTATATGTTTTCTGCAGCTTTAGAGCAGCCATATCTCTATCATTTGCAGGACCTGGCGAGGGCATTGCTATAGATTTCTCAAACACACTATCTGGGGCAGGTGACGTTGGAGGGACTTGCTTGCTCTTGGCATTGTTGATTGATGCAATAATTCCTGTGTTTTCTACATCAAAGGCAGGAGCTTTCAGTGATATCTCTAATTCCCGGCCTTTAAAGCTGAGAGACCCTTCAAGGATCATTTTTCCAGAATCGAAAGACTTCATCGCTGCTTTAGAATCAGAATCTCTACCGTTAAAACTAACAGAACGTATTACAGCTTTTACATCACCACGTTCAAAACTTATTTGTCTAACTAAAAGGGATTCCAATTGACCATCCAAATCATGCGATAAAGGGCATGAAAAAGACATCCCCATTTCTCTCCAGAATGCAGGGATGTCCGATTCCAAACCAACAGATATGTACTTTGATCTGCACCAAGGGAAAGGGAATGAAATTAGTTCACCTAAGGACTGCATCAAAGTGATAATTCATGTAATCAAATTTACGTACAAACAACAGCTCAGATACAGCTGTCAGACAACAATGTATCACCAACTCTTGAGTAGCTAATGCGAAACACAGTACGAGGAAATAAAAGTCCAACCCGCCATTCCCCAAAAAAAAAAAATCTAATATAACAAATAACCGTATACAAGAAAGAAGAATTCGTCAACTAGAATGATGCCCAATAGCCAGTAAAAGTTAGTATTTCTTTACAGTTACATCCCACAAATCAAGAAACGTTCCATATTCTTCAAAAGAATGCAATTCAAATCCGTACAATGAGATTCAAATCTCACAACGGTAGAGCATCAGAACCGTAGCAAAATAAGAATATCAGTCCAAAAACTCAAGTTTAATCAATCAATCACTAAAGAAATGTCTGCATTTAAGAATCTCTTTGCCACCCCATTTGACCATATGTTATCACGATCAGAAAGACCATTACAACCCTTTTTCTGCGACAAACATAGACGTACCAATCTAAGTACAACAGCCATAAAGATTGCAGAAAGTTGGAGTTTTTCTTTACCTCGTATGATTAGCGCCTGCCTGAAAATGTTACGACGGTATATTCAAAAAATGCAAATAAGATAGGGAACTGGGACGATCCCAGAAAGGGATGGTGAAAAGAGAATTAGAAGGCAAGTTTAAGGAAGATAAACAGATGACAGGAATGTGAGAGAGAGCGTGTAATGTGGGGGTGACGAGGTAATCAAAAGGAAGAAGCTTTATCGGTTTTGGTCATCAAAAGGAGAAAATTTGGTATTCGTTAGTCCCACTTCTCTTCCCCTCTTTTCTCTCCGTGTCCAAAACGGGATGAAGCCAAAGGACTCGACTGAATTTTAGAAAGAGTTGTAAGGCAAGGTACATTGGCTGTCCTTGCTTATCTAACAAACTCTTATCTCATTTCTGCTCAATTTATAGGAAAAGAGAGCTACTGGGGCTTGTTCTGCAACGCATGGATGCACAATTTTCCAACCACGTGTTCTACTCCTTGACTGCCTCAGGAAGTTTCAAGTGAATTACATAAGCTAGAAAAATACTAGTTTAGTACTGGAAATGGTGGCCTCGGGATTTGGATATACAGTCATCATATATGATATATTTTGAGGTTTCGTGGGTTGCATTCATGGCCATGGTCATTATTTATGACAATACCATCTAACCAAAATGCTACTACAATTAAATAAATGTTTCTTGTGGTTGATTTCAATCTGGCCTTGCTGTTACTCTTTTGTTTTCTTCGGCACAAATGAGGTGGCAAAGATCAAATAAGTATATTATCGCAACAGGATATCAGGATCATGGATGCTTCGGTTCTCTTATTTGTTTTTTTTTTTTTTTATTTCTAATGCTTTTAAAGGTTCTTTAGAATTTAACAGAGTTTATTTACTTGACAATTATAAAAAAGGATAATTTTAGAAACCTCCCTTGAGATTTGCAGCGATTGCAACCACCTCCCTTAAGGTTAGAAAATTTGTAGAAACCTCCCCTAGAAAATATATTTTGGTGACAAATGATGATGTAAGCACAAAAAGTCTAATGAATGTCATATATTGCCCCTATTTGACTTACAAAACAAATTAAATGACAAAGAAATCAAATATCATCATTAGTTGCTGAGCAAAAAAATTTTAAGGTAATTCTTTGCAGCAAAATTTAGACCATAGTTCAAGGCATATCATTTTTTTAATTTTTGGACTTCCTTTTTTTTTTCCCTTTGCTAAGTACGTTGTGAAGAAACTACTTTTAACAAATGCATCCCTACTAGTTGGTTATTTATAAAACTAAGCAAGGAATGTGATTTCGTACAGAAAAATTTTTACATTTTTCATAAGCACATTGCACAATCACTATTTTATTTTATATACATCAAATCGTTATAACACATTTTTTTACAAAAACTCCTAAAAATAACAATTCAAATAGTGCAGATTTTCTTTTCCTTTACACCCACTTTTCATTTAGAATTTATAGAGTTGTCAATTTTCATAACATCAAGGAAGGTAAATATAATTTTTTAAATCTTGAGAAAGGTGACTGAAATGGTCAGAAACCTTAAGGGAAGTGTATATGAAATTATCCCTTTAGAAGAAGAAGAAGAAGAAATTCAACCTTACTCTTTGACCGACCATTATAGCTAGTTTGGATAGATATTGTAATATGACTAGAGCACTCACTAAATTCTCTAGTGCTCTTAATAAATTTCTCTAATTAATGATTTTAATTAGTGATTTAAAATTTGTTAGAAAGATAAAATTTTACTTGCACTGGAGAATCACAAAAAGTTTATAGAGGTCAAGTTTGAATGGTTCAATCTTACTTTTAGACATTCTATCTTGAATTGGTAGACAATCTCCCTCCTCAGTACTCCATGGAATCATTCTTCATATGCTTCTTGCTTTTCTTGCTTTTTCACTTTTTGTACTTCAGAACGAGGACCTTCAATTTTTTTCCTTTTTTTTTTTGGAGAAACATTTCAAGACGTTTTGATGGAGCAAGTTACAATTATAGGCGTTGTCAAACAAATTGAGATATCTTTTACTTTTGACTTGTCTTTTTTTTTTATTCCTTACATTGCGCAAGAAATACTACTATTAAGGAGGCGTTTGGTAAACGAGTCGAGCGGTAGGAATGAGTATCAAGTTAGTAATATTCATATTTACTATTATTGGGTAGATCAGAATAGGAATCATTTAATGAAAATGAAAGTGTTAGATCTTATCCCTGTCATTCTTCACTCGTATTTGTAGTGAAACCCGGTCAAGATCCTAATGAAACAGGTGCAGGAGAATGATACAAAAAACCATACTCATAGCGGAAGTGGAGCCTATGATTCTGACTCCAGAATTTAAGCCACACTTGCTAATTCCATTATTCTTTTCAGCTCGCAAGGCTTTTGGATAATGCTTTTACCCCATAATTTTCTTTTAGGGCGAAAAATATCATTAGCGATTAAACTATTACTCGCATCAATTTTTTGTTACAAATTAGCCATTAAACTAATTAATCAGCATAATCATGGGTATTTTATCAATTATTGCTCTTAATTTACAAAATAATCAGAATCGTATTTTGACAAAAAAAAAATACCCATGATTGACAAATATGCCATTGCATTTTGACATGTGTTTTGATTCTTTTGTAGATTAAGAGCAATAATTAATAAAATGGCTACGAATGTGCTGATTAGTTAGTTTAGTGACTAATTTGTAATGAAAAATTATTTGATAGTCAAAATTCGACGCAAGTAATAATTGAATGCCATTTTATTCCTTTCTTTTAGGACTATATTAATTGTGAATAAGGAAAGTCTCTTCTCAAGTCTTTTTGCCACCGTGCTGAATTAGGATCAGAAAAAGTATATTTCACCCCAAACAACCAAGTATGTTTTGAAAATCAGATCGGATCGGTCGGTTCAACTGGTTGAACCACAAATCGACTATATTTCCGGTCCGATTCAATTAAAAAATCAAAGATTAAATTGAACCGATAAAAATTGGGAGGTTCAACCTATTTTTATTATGTACTTATTTTTAAAAATAATTATTTTAGTTTTATTCAAAATTCTTAATATTAAAATAAATAAAAAAAATTATTAAACATTTAAACCGAAATCGAACTGATCAAACCATGAACCTTTTCGGATTCACTCTTCGGTCTGGGTTTAAAAACATTGCCAACCGATCTGCTGACCCAAAGTGGGGAAGAAACACACACACACAAAGAAAAAGTGCCAAATACTTTCACTACTAAATAAGCATGGACCATGGTCTGCCGTCCACAATATTGACCATAACACAAACGCTTGTCTATTCTCTTCAAAGCAACTTGAGGGAAATTACATCTCATGGGAACGCGACTTCTTTTTCTCTTATTAACCCATTCCGTAAACCACTATACATTTCATTATACATGCAATTAGAGTTAGCGAAATTAAAAATGAACTGATTACTTGATCCATGAACCCCTAATCCGGATGGACGATAACCTTTCGAAATGGGTAAGTCAAGTCAACTTGCTATTAGGCTATTAGCCAGCCATAGTACAAGTTTCAACGTACAAAAAGCAGTAGTGTTGATTCTATCCTTTAGGTAGACCAGTGATCCAAAGTTCGGTTTGGGCGGAAAACTCACCGGCATTTGGTCCAATAGCAAGCCTCTACTTTCGCATCGGATTGAATGGTATTTTCGGGAACAAATATGAATCGGTGATCCGATACTTGACTTGATGGTCTAACTGTTCTCCGACACAAAATAAATAAAAGTAAATACTCTCTCTCACCTTTGCTCCGACACCCCAAAAAAAATAAAAACAAATTAAAAATGTCCATTCTTAATTAGTACTCCCTCCATTTTTTTATAACTGACGTTTAAGATTTTGCACACCAATTAAGAAAAGTTTTTCATTGTTTAAATCTATACACTACTTTCCTTTTGTACCCTCATTAATTGTCCAATTCACCAATGTTTTCTCTCACTAGAGTACTAAATGGAAAAGAGAGATAAAAGGATAAAATTGTGAAAAAATAATTAATGCTACATGGAGATAGTAAAACGACAGATAAAAGTACTTAAGAGTAAATTTGTTAAACGTCAGTTATAAAAAAAGGGAGGGAGTACTAATTAATTATTACAAGTTACAAGCACAAAAGGCGAGTTTACAACACGCTCAAATTTATTAAAAAAAAAAGGGGGGGGTGTTGGAGTCAGGCGCTTTTATTAAGAGAAGAAGAAGAAGGCATGATATATTTTTCCAAAGTCAAATCTTAATAACAAACAAAAAAAAAATTTCCCACAGTCACAGACAGCTATCCCATGGGCTATTGGTTGACAGCCAGAGTACTGTACTTCAACCGTACGAACATTTAATCAATGTCCACGTGGCACAAAGAATCTTTGTCCATCAACTCCGTCTTGATGATGCTTCGAGGAATTCCCCTTTCTCCATTTATGGATTTTTTTTAAAACAAATTTTAAAAAGTCAATCCACTTTTCAATTGTACTATTCATATTTGAAGGAAAGAGTAGAGATATTTATTATTAACATTTGTTTGTAATACAAAAGTAACTAACGAGATAATAAAGTATTTTTATATTGAGTTATAGTTTTTTTTTTATATATAATAGTTATAAAGTTAAACGTTTGTTCAATAAATTGGAATTATTATAATAAGGATAAGTTACTTCTTAGAGTTTAGTTATGAATTGATGTAAGGGACAATACGGCTGTTTGGATTGCTATTTTTAAGATTTTTTTTATAGAAAAATAAACTGTACTGATTTGATATATATAAGGTAAAAAGATAATTGAAAAATATGTTCACGAAAATGTAAAAAAATTTCTAAAAAAAAAACTACAATCCAAACAAGTTTAATGCTTTCACCTACTATTCAGAAGCTTTTATACATAAATTTATTACATTATGATAATATTCATTAAATAGTTCAATACTTAAAATAATAAATAATAGGTATTCTTTGATATGGTAGATTTATTCATCAACATGATTGTACACCTATTCATACTCGTTCTTGATTCAAGACCCATATATATATATATATATATATATATATATATATATATATATATATATATATAGCAATCTCTTTTATACATGAATAATTTATTAGTACTTTGTATCAAAGTTAATAAATCTTGCAATTGGAATAACCAGATGCAGATGTGATTCTGATATACTTTGGGGGGAACTCTCGATACTTGTTCACTTATACATACTACAGGCAAACTCATCAATTACCAAACAAAAAATGGACAAGTAGCAGCAGGATGCACGTAGAAACTCTTAACGCGGAATACATGCACTACGCTTACATGCAAAACAAGACAAGTTGATTTCAAATTAAGTATACCTTCGATAAAATTGAAATCTGAATATATTAAATTTTTAAATTTTTAAGCGTTAAATC